CTAAACTCTTTAACTCTTGATGTCACAAGACTAGAATTTTTTAAAAAATATTTTTAAAGAGGTTTCTTTATCCACCACAAATGCAAAGAAAAAAAAAATCAGAAACTTTCTCTCAGTAATTTATTTTCCTTCTAGGTGATACTGCCTTGAAGTTCTGTATTTTCTGTAAATGTGCATAACCTTTTTACAGGCACGGCTGTCACCCATATCTGAAATCAGGACATAGTTCTAAGCATCCCTTGTCCATTTGTGAATCATGCATCCTGAAATGCAAGGTGCCACGATGCTCTTGTAATTGGCAGAACAGTTCATCATCTCATGCTTCATTGCCTGTAAAGCTGCCTTGAAAGTCCTTAGTTCGGACTGCTGTTAAAATCCCTGCTTGCAAAATTTCCACATTCTTTTTTTATAAAAGAGAAGCAAATGTTTTTCTCTTCCTCCGTATTACTACCAGTGCCTAGTAAAGCAAAGTACTTCAAAATTGGCGTATGTTCCACACTGTAATTCTAGTGGATAATTTATAGAGAGCTGAATAAAGACATAGCAGGAAACTGGTTGTTGCTTATACTCCATGGGCACCTGCTCCAGGTTCTGCTCTGCACTTGAGTAACGTTTTACTATGCCAGTTATTTTTCTTTTCCTTGCTGATATTTTTAGGTTATACCTTTCAGGATACTCTCTAAGTCTGAAGTTGTGGTCATCTTCCCAGTAATAAAATCTGTTCTGACTTCCATTTTAAGCACCACAGGGTGATCGGCACCATTTTGTTTGCTTTAGAGAGGTGGAGGAAGGGCTTTCCATTTGACTTCATATGCAGAAAAATATGTATCTGACTTTGAGTCCAAACACTGAGCAGATGTGGGGCTTTCCCAAGTTTTCTGTTTTTAAGTGCTGGGAGAACAGCATCAGTTTTTTCTGGATCAGCATTCTCACTGTATCCATTTCCAGCAAGAAGTGAGAGCCAGCAGTTTCTTTTTTTTTCCTATGTTCAAAGAGAGAATTTAGGAGGGAAAATACATACGAGTGACTTTGTGAGGTGTAGCAGATGGGGTACATTTTATATCAGAGGTTAGACAGGGTCTCTGTTCTAAGAATCTGCTTGAACCGAATCCTGCAATTTCCTGTGAGTATGACTATACCCATACTGATAGTGCCATTGAAAAGTATGTAGGAAGTCAATAAGATTTGTTTTATGAAAAGATGTTACTTCATAGAACTATTAATTGGAAGAGCAATGTGCAAAACCAGCAACAACAAAAAACCTCATAAATAGTGATGTATAATGCAGTGATATGACAGTGCAGCCTTGTCTGGCAATGTTAATTGACAGTGTGAAGGCTTAATTGAATTCTGCTTTTTGAGTAGGAAGAGTCATGTCTGTCTTAAAAATGCTGCCCCTGGGCAGTATTGTAAGCACCTGTAGCTGAAGATGTAACAAAATAGCTGCTGCATAGCAGAATTATGATGATTAACAGTAGTGATGTGGTTTTAGTACCCAGAGCCACTAACCAGCTGGTGGAGTCTCCCTGCAGTAGACACCGCACAGTCCCTTTCAGTCTGGGCATGTGGTTAGATGTAGGTCAGGAAAAGCACAGGTAAACTGATTTTGCAAGGAAGTGTAAAAAGAAAACCCCGTTGTGACTAACTTTGTGAGAACCAGTGGAAACCTAACAGCTGTTGAATGTATCGGCAAAGTTGGGGGGAAGCTGTATACAATTTTGAAGAAGTGCAAATAATGGAAGTATGCATGATGTGTCATACAAAACACATACATCTTTGTGTTTGTCATGGTTAACACAAGATCAAGCGCTGACAAAGGGCAGTGTAGAACATACTCCGGGAATGCATAAATGGTAGAATACCTGTTTCACAGAAAGGCATTGAACTAGCTGTTCACTTCAGGCAATTGAGTGACAGAACCATCTTATGTGACCAAACTCACTTTATTCTGTCTCTTATGCTCTAAATTATTCTCATCATGTGCTGTGAAGTTCTGCTTGGAGTGTCTATTCTCAGCATAAAACTCTTTGTCAAATTTCTATTAAGCTTAAGGTGAAAAATTAATGAGCCATTCACTTCAGATATTTCAAAACTAATACTTCTCTATTATTAATGCAGCAGAAAGTCAAAGATGTGGGTATGTACAATTATCGTTCAGTGTTCAGTCAGACTTTTTTTCATATTTTGGGAGGGACATCATTAAAACAGTGTTTCAGGTCATAGAAGGAATTATTTTAATTAATTTTATTAGTAAACGTTTTAGACAGTTTCATTTACTAACTTTTTGTTTTATCAGATCCTGGCAGAGGGTGACAATGAAATACAATATTCTGTCCAATCTTTCTCTGAATCTTGATTTTAACTAAAAATGAACAGAAACTTGATTCTTAGTGCATCAACTTTTTAAAGAAAAATAAATAAAAGCCTAATTGCATAATACTGATGAAGGTTTGGGTAAACCAATACTCTTTTCGCTAGAGAATTATGACATTGTGGCTAACACTCTTCTGTTACAAGCGTTCTGATTTTTCATCCTTGACAAAAGTCATTGAAACGAGGTAAAATTGTACTTTAACCCAGAATTAAGTGGCATATGGTACAAGTATTACTGTTAAATTCTCCCAGTAAAAACTTTTCAGAAATCTCAGAATATGTTTCTGATACCTGTAAGTTAAGCGATAGAGCTCTACGAAAGGCTGGGTTACAAGTGTGTATCCCAGACTGAGCAGTGTGGAGACTGGTGCTCAAGGTTTGTGCTTGCATTGGAAAAGAAAACACAAAACACAGTCACTGCAGAAGTAGAAATGCAGTCCGTACTTTCTATGCAGAAACTTTCTAAATATTACCTCTTTTTGCATTCCTAAAATTAACTTAATAATTGATTAGCATATTTTTCTTCTTGCATTCCAGTATGTTCTGTAACGTCTGTCTTAAATTAATAGCAGTTTTAGGCCTGACACGGTTAGATTGTTAGACTTGCATAGAGGAAGGAATTCTGTTTCTTGGAGGATTCTCATGCTATAAAACTAAATTTCATTGCAAGCAAAAATCTCGGATTATTCTCAAATCATTTGCTGTGCTCGCAGATCCTGGAAGCACGATGTGCTCCAAGGAGTTTGGCATCCAGCAGGGAAAGAGCAAGCAAGAGTCTCACAAAGTTCTTTTGATACGTTGGTTTCTTTATGAAGTTGCTGTGCACTGTTTTGCGGTTGGTACAGCACCAAGCCCATGAGTTTTTAAAAACTGAATGATTGTACTTTAACTAGTAGCCCTGGAAATTTCCAGATTTTTCAGTGTGCACTGTGTTTTACCGGGGGAGACTGGTGTTGAATCTGTCACTTTTGAATCCTGATCATGATGCAGGTAGGTTTCCTGTCTCCTAAAGAAGGTACGCTGGGAGGGGGAAAGGGACTCTTCCTTTTTTTTTTTTTTTTTTTTTTTTCTTAAAGCGTTTTTTAATATTAATTCCAGTATTGCTTCTTTTTTTTTGTAAATAGTTCAGGAGGTTCAGTTACTAGAGTATTGTGTAGAAATCAGGCCTCGAACAGATGTCAAGAGGTCATCTAATCTAGTGCCTTCCCTCAGGAAGGGGATCAGCCATACCTGTGTTACTCCTGACAGATGTTTAAGCTTTTCTTTAAAAGGATTTCAGTTGCAGAGATTTTACCACCTGCGTAGGCAAGTATTTATTAATTCCTCCTACTAGAAAGTGTTTCTTCCAGATAACTTAAATCTCTCTTTCTTTATTTTAAATCTTTTTTTTTTTTTGGTTTTGTCCCATACTTCAAACTCCATCTTATATTGTGAAATGATTCATTTTTAAACATGGGAGCTATGAACCTCCTCGCCTTTTCCGTGGGGGGCTTTTTGTCTGCAAGAGTATTCTTGCTTTCCATGGGAAAATGATGATGCCTTTGTTAGGCCAGCTGAAATAGTGGAGGAAAATAGATTGAGTGCTTCAAGAGCATTTCCATGTGCAGAGTTTGCCTTTTTCTTCCAGTTCTGTCAGTTGATCTCCCAAAATACCTTCCTGTCCTTAAATGTTGGACAGTTGTCTTTTCAGTTAAAGAGAGATTTTAAAATATGTGTGAGTCTGCTGATATTGTGAGGTTTGTGTCATGGCTTTTTAAGATCTTAAAGCTATAAATGGAGTACTCTGCTTTCTGATCTGTACCTTCCTCCACTTGACGTGTCTGTTTTAGTACGCTCTTATTCCAGACCTCCTTCAGCTGAGCCTTCAACCTTCCATCACAGAAACACCCCTGCATTTATAAAATAAATTATAGTCACCTTAGCTGCATTGAATCCACTTTGAGTCACTGAGATAATCAGATTGTATTCTGAAAAAGAGAAAGGAATATATTAAAATTTTCAAGCTTTTTGGTATATGCAAGGAAGCGCATCTCATCAAATTGACAGTTTATCTATCATCAATGTGCGTCTGTGGTATATTTCTTGTCAAAGTTCTCACAAAAGCTTGCTTGTGTGATAGCTCGCCCCTTAAACAATTTTAGTGCTAAGTAGCACAACTTCTGTAGAGTTTAAACATTTTGGCATCCCTAGCAAAACCAACAGCCTTATCGGCAGTGGCATCGTTCAGTGCAGACAGACACTTCCGCATGATTTCAGGCTGTTTAAATGCCTGCTCTTCCCTGTAAGGCAGTGCTCAGTTCTTACTTGAATTTGGAAGTTATTGCTGATTAGTAATTCTGTTTTTCAGTGATTCCTTTAACTGCACACCAGTTTAATTTGTTGTGTTTGTCACATGCAATCTAATATCCGCTTGGACTCTGATGGTTTCTTTCTTGTGGAACTATTCCCCAAATACTCTAATATGTACATGTAATTCTGTGGCACGTGAGTACAAAATAACAGCTGCTTACCTAAATCAGTTGTTTTAAGCTGTATTGTAGAAATCTGCTTTTTTTGTTTCATTTATGCAGAAGAGAAATCTTCTCATTTTTATTTACTAAATTGCTGTTCTCTTTCTGTCATTTAAGATGGAAGCTACAGACAAAATCGACTGAACCTCACAACACTTTTGGTACAACCAATTTCTGCAGTGCTTGCCAAAAAACTTGTTTCCTTACCTGAGGACACGGTACAAAAAGATAGGTGTATACCCCTCCAGCTGCCAGCTACAGGTAATGCTTTTTAAATAATCTTTTCTTCTAACTATGAAATGTTCTTCAAAGACTCCAAATCCGTTTTCTATAGCTATATATAACTTAAGAGGTTTAGCTGATTATGAGAATGTTTTGCTTAGCTGCTTTCTAGAAAAGAGTGAACAAAAAAAAATATGCTCTCAGAATCTAATAGATGGAAGTTTTGGTTAGAAAAAAGAAGTCTTTTAGTATAAGGCATTAAGCTCTAGTTCTTAATATTGAGTTAAAAACCCCTCTATCTAGACATCATCACTAGAGAGATTTTGTTAGTACTGCAGTGTGGTTTGTTAGGCCTTGTTTTGCTACTTAGAATGTGTTTTTAACATTAAGGCACCCATAGCAGTGCTGAACTTATCCTGTGTCTTTTTTCTGCCTCTGGCATAGTAATACTATAATTCTAAACAGCGATAAGTCTTTCTGTGTTCCTTAATTTGTATCTGCTATAGAATAAACAATGCATTGTTGTCTGAACCTTCAGGCACCTTGTCTTCCAAGTTTCACCAGAAAAAGTCATCATGATAAGAACAAAATACCTTGAGTAGAGCTAGATGTAATGAAAGAATTCATTCAGAGTATCTCTTCAGAGATATTTGTAGCAAAGTCATACAGATTATTGCTTGAACAAACTTATTACTGACGTGGGAGAAAAAAGTGAGAATATAGTCTTCCAGCAAAGATAGTGCAGAGTGTTTCAATGAAGGAAGGAATACCTTCCAGATAATGTTCTAGATGAGGTGCATGTTTAAACAGTAATCCTGTCTTGATTTTTCTTTTTTACTAGTCTAACTTTCACCAGAAAAAAATGCAGAAAAAATGATGTGTTCTATTGTAACGCCTGCTTCAAAGAATTGATTTGAAGCAGTGGCCTTAGAAGTGGGGGGACAAATTAAGTTAGCTGCTGTGTCCTGTGCTAAATACAGCGATGATAACACTAAAAGCAAATTTTAAAGGCAACTGTTGTTCTATCACATATGTGCTTTATCACTTGTTTATTGTTTTTGGAAAGTTATTGTGGAATAGGAATACAATACAACAAGTCGTAAAAAAGGTTGATTAATTTCATGACTTGTGTTAGCATTTGTAGTTATGCATACTAAAAAGGCAGAAAGACCTCATGCTTCATGGCTTAAGCTGTTGAGGTTAGGTAGGACTATTGCTTTCCATGCATGACTGACTAGGTATTTTAAAGATGAGCTGGTCTTCCACGCAACCAGTACTCAAAGACTATATAAATGGGGAAAGGTCATTTTGGAAGGAACGAGTGCTTAACCAGTCCAGGTAGGATGTGTGAAGCTCAAGGAAAGCGTGAATTTGGGCTGGCGAATGACACTTATTTTAGTAAGGTAAAAGGCTGCACTGTGTCTGTTACTCAAAAAGCTTTGTGTGCAGGCTGCAGGACAGCATCACCTAAAGGGTAGCTTGTTCTACCTTCGTCTGACAGGTGTGGCATGTGTGTTTTATTTCCCTGAGAAGGCAGGAATTATGTGTGGTGGAAAATTTCTGGAAAGAAAGAATATTCCAAGCTAGCAGTCTAGTAAGAGCCAATCCACATCCGGCTTACTCTGGGTAAACACAGCAGCTTGTGTCTGTCTCCATGTAAAGCTTTTGAACCGCAGTAATCCATGTGGGATTTTTTTAAAAATTCCTGATTTATTGAGCAAGTAGGGTCTATAATAAGAAGCCTTGCATAACTCTGAAATGCATTATGATATATTTTGCCTTGAAATAATGGAGAAACTACAGATGTGCTGGAGCATATAGTGTGCTGAAGTGTTCAGTAGCAGCCTTAATGGAGAGATACAAGACTGCTCTCATGATAAGAAATCTTTTATAACTGTTTAATAACAATAATAGCCAAAGAGAAAATGCTGAACAGAGTAATGCGTGTAAGAACAGTGAAGGCTGAATTTGCAGTCTTCCTGTTGATTTGAAGCAGCTTAAGAGAGAGATTTCACTACTGACGTGGAAGTCATCACTTATCTGTCAAAAGAGGTGAATGAGCAATTCAGATGATTGGTTGGCTTAAAATTTGTTAGAATAAAATTATCATCATTCTCTCATCAGTATGTTTCAAAAAGCTGAGCAGCAGATTCATCAGTAATGATTAAACATTTATATATAGTTTTCTCAGATTGCCTCTTTTTTCCTTAGCCTTGCAGATTGCAAGAGACGTAACGTGACAGAGGCAGTGGGAGGATATGGAGAGAAACAGCCGAGATCTATTGAATGCTTAGAACCTACAAAGCGAATAGTGGGAATTGAAGTTACTTATTAGTTTCGTGTTAGTTGAAGTTAGTAATTAGATTTCCTTTTTGTTTGGTGTGGTGCATCATTGCTAATCCTCATTAATCTGAAAATCTGTGCTCTCACAAACTTTTTCCCAAAAACAGGCAATTAGAAGGTATTTAAGAAAAGCTGCACACTTCTGAAGCTTTCTTTTTTTTACAGAATATTACTAGGCCATTTGCTAGAATGTTGTGAAGATTGCCATAAAACTAAAACACTCCTGTAAACATAAATGAAGAATGGCCTTCTGTGTTGCAGTAAATACCTTTCTTGTTTGTCAAGTTACTTGCCAGTTGGTAGATTTTAGTCAGTGCAAATCATCCGTTTTCAATGAATCTCTTGAGTATTTCAAGTAAATCTATCTACTGGAATTTAATCTACAAAGTGTTTTTCATCACTAATGACCATATACTTTGGTGTTAAATGGAAAGCCTGGTAGTCTGGAAGTCTGGTAGTTAAAAACACTGGAGATAAATGTGTAATTTTTCTTTTTGGCTTTAAGTGTCACCTTTCATACTCATATGATTCTAGTCTGAGAAGACAGAAGATCAGAAAGATCTAAGATTTCACTAGTGATCATCTCCAGCTGTCTTTGGCAGAAGTGAAGACCTGAGGATTTCACAGATCAGCTTGGATGATTAAATAGCTTTCATTGTCATACGGCATATAAGAAAAAAAGATGCCGTATTTTTCAGAGAATGAATGAAACCCTGAGGAATTTGGTTTGCCAGACTTGTAAACAGGGAGATCAAGGGGATACTGTCTGAAAGGGTCTTAATTGAGAGATCCTCTCTAGAACTTAGGAAAAATAAGATAACATGGTATATGAGGAAATGTGTTCACAAGGCTAAGCAGCTGTTTACAATTATAGGCAACAATAAGTTAAAAAAAAAAAAAAAATTTTAGCACTAAAGGGGCGGAGATAGTCACCAATGGAGATAGGGATTTGTGGTGGAAGGTGTTCAAGTGCCCAACATTGGACAGTTTTAAGATTCAGCTGGACAGGGTGCTGGGCCATGTTGTCTAGACTGTGCTTTTGCCAAGAAAGGTTTGACCAGGTGATCCTTCAGGTTTCTTCCAACCTGGTATTCTAAGATTGTGAATGCTAAAAATGTACGTGAGTCAAAAAGGGCTACTTAAAAATTCACTGAGGGAAAAAAATTCCATGAATTTTGAGTTTAAACACACACACAGCTCCCCATCCCCGGCCCTGCCTTCACTGACTTTCAAGTCGGTGGGAGACACAGTAATGTCTTAGGAAAGAATCAGTATACACCCATCCTACTCTTACATTCTTCTCCACATACACGTTGTTGGTCACTCTTGGAGATAAGGGCTAGATCGCCAGTTGGTCTGACCTAGCATGCCTGAGCAGTCTAACTGAAATCACAGGAAGTATAGTGCAAACATTCATGCTTTGATCTCATGTCAAGGCTTCGATGTTTCTTTAACTAACTGATGTTTAAATCCAACCCTATTTCTCTCTTTGTCTGGATCAACCAAGATCATTGAGGGCGTATCATTTCAGAAAATATCAGTAGAATTAACATACACAGAAGATCATCCCATTTCTTATGATCTGTTAATGCCTTTTACTGTGAAGTAGGCGTAGGGTTTTTTATATTTTAACTTATAAAATAGTGAAACCAAAGCATGAATAGTTTAAGTAACTTGAATGTGATCAAACACTGCATGAATAATAGAGCCAGGTATACAAAGACTCCCAGCATTCTGCTATAGCCAGTTAAATGACTCTGATGAAAATGTTTTTAGGTAGAATCATTTGATCTCTTGTAACCTTTTTTAGCCTACAAAATAGAGTCATTGATCAATACTGAGTCATCTTAATGACTGCAGTGCAAAACTACGTTGTAGGCTGCAAACAAATCCACATCCTCTACGAAAAAGGTGAGCATGGAACAGAAAACCAGAAATGACTGTTACTGAAAACGTTTGTAGCATAACATAGAGAAGAATTTTTGTAAGACTTTGAACATCTATTTTATACAATTCCACATGTCCTATGCTCATTATACTGAGTTTTATAGTCATCTCTGATCATGTGAAGTTTGAACCATTAATTATACAAAAGGCATAATTCAAAGAGTCCTTTAGTTTCCATATTATATGATCACTGTCCAAGACAAAGTTCCCTGCCAAGTGCTGCACTAGTGCAAATCAAGCCTGTTTTCTTTTCAGTCAAAGGAAGGGCATGAAAAGATAAAGGAGAGAGCTATATATATATCCTCCTGTTGGGCTACAGCCTTGTGATGTTGTTATATGTGTTTCTCCTTCATAGCTTGCTACCTGTCAGAGAAAAGGAAGAGTACCATATTTAATAAACTCTGGCTGTGTCATTACACACTATGATATCAATGTGCAGACAATCCCATAATTTCTAGGTATTTGCACTACGCTAAATGTAAATCCAAGAAAACAAATAAAGATGCCAGCATATTGTGTGGCAGTACATGTTACTCTTATCTACCAAATTTTAATTCATTGTACATAACAGTAGAAATATAATGGCCTTCTGCAGATGTTGCTTACTGGCATTTCAAAGCAGTACGTGTTAAACAGGGAAGTCCGGTGTAATACAGACATACTGTATGTGAAAACTTGCAAGCATTTATACTAATACTCTTGGATTTTCTTTTTCTGATTGCTTTATGTTCTGTTCTCTTTTTAAATATAAGTTCATGAAAAGAATTAAGCATAATGACTACAAAGCTTTTATATATATATATCTCTATCTATATAGATATATATCTTCTCTCTACTCCTGTCTGCGGCCTCAAAGAGTTTTTCTACCAGAGTTTTGACTGATCCAGATATATTTTCAGAATTCTGTTCTGTGCCATTGTTTTTCTGTGTGATGCTTTGCATTTGATTGCTGTAAAGCAGGTAAAGAATCTCTCAAAATAGTCTGAGATTATGAAATTCCAAATATTATGTGCCAGTCCATATTATTCCATACAGTATCACCGATATAATAGAAGAAATCTATGACATACTTGATTATTCATTATGTGTAAATAGCTTATAGTGTTTCTACATTGAGTGCAGTTAGTTCTTACTGTATCTTCATGTTCTGTCGTATTTGATATCACTTTAAAGCCTCAGGTGTTGGGGCAAATAACTTTATGAAAACTGTAGCTTTCATTATTAAAAAAAAATTGTTAGCCTTCAGGGTTGTCTAAAAAGCTTGGTAGCGTGTGCTCAGAAAGTTAGCAGTTGGGTTATTAAAGCCTGACATAAAGTTTTTGAATGACTGGAACAAGAAATCTGTTGGACATGATTCTATCCTGACTACCTCAGCTGAATTAGTGTCCCCTAGGTAACATGGCCATGGATGTTTGATGATGTTTGAAAGCTTTATCGTGATTTCAAACTGATGTGTTTTTATTGAGGTGTGGTTTATGTTGATTTCAGCAGAAATTATATACACGTTAAAAAGTGCGTGACTTGAACTTATTCCATGTACCTTGTTTCTGAAATCTTCTGAAATAACTTCTGTGTTTACCATCCAAGAAATGTTATCAAAAAGCATACATTCAGTTAGTACTTGATGCTTCTACGCTGGAGTTAAATGTGCATGTAGGGGAATTTTTGTATATGATTAGCAAAAATCTTGTCAAATTAGTACAACTTTCAAACCTGAGTCCCTGCTGATGCGTTTTAAAATCCAATACTCAAAGGAATGCTCGGAAAACTGTCTGATTATAGGTGTTTAAGATCAGGATTCAAGAATTTAACCAACATGTTTGAAAATCAGGCTCAAACTTATACTACTCTATGTTATTATGGACTTGGGATAAGATTAAAAGCAAAAAAAAGAAATAAAACATAACTCATTTTACAGGCTACAAGTAGTAGTTTTTTTCCTTGTCTGAATCTCTAAAATTGTCAATCAAATGAGTGGGAAATAACCATGCATTTCTAAAAACAGCTGTGTAGTTGTGAGAGGAGAAGGTACTCATTTGGTATCAGTCAATTTACAGACATCAAGTCAAGAAATAAATAAATAAAAAATATTGACAATAAATACTCTTCTGTTCTTCTATTTCAGGAATAGCTTTTGACTTGCATAAACTCAAAGTTTGTCCTAAATAATGTTAAACTAAAGTCTCCGCATAGTTTTCCAGAGAATGCAGAAAAAAAGAGAAAGTTGTCAAGATCTTTAAAATATAGCATTAGGAAGAGAGGTTTGTTGTCAGAACTGTTTAAAGGGGATTAAATTTCACTTCTGCTGTATCCTCCAAAGAGTACTTTCAGCCTTTTCATCTGGTGTACTAAGCCTTTAAGCCCAAGTCACTTTAAGCTGACTACTGTGTTACATGACTATTAACTTGAATATCTGATTCCAGAATATGTGTATTGCCAGCAGTTAATTTTCTATTTCTTTATTGTCAGTTGAAGACTGCATAGCTGATGTTGATTAAGGAAAAACAGTTAAGTCAGTTGTCTTCAAAAGGATTTATCTTCTTTTTGTTTGAAACGGGGCCTAAAGAAATATGGATCTAAAGTGTTGTAAGGTTAGAAAAGGAAAGGAAGTCAGTTTTTGGCTTGAAAATCTTTTCTGAGCAGATTAAATTAGCTCTAGAATGGTTGCAGGTGAGAAACAGAAGCAAGAAGTGACTTGCGTAATATAGGTTAAATTTAAACTGCTGAAACAACATGGATGCCGTGAGCTGTTCTCATATTGTTTTAAAAGACAAAAAAAAAAGAACATAGGTTACAATTACAGTACAGCGCCGGGAGCCCTTTGGATTAATTTTTGGTTTGGTTTGGTTTTTTTAACGATTTTTTTTTTTTTTTAATTGTAGAATAACATCTGTAGATTTATGGAACAAACACAATCCATCGTCACGTGGCATTAATAAACCTTACAGTAACTTACATCAGAAGGGCAAAGTTAATTACGACTTGAACCCCAACATATGCATGACAGAATAAAATACTAACTAGCTGTGATTGATAATTGCAAAATAGTGTGCTGTGGTTTATTTTTAATTAACTGTGTCTGACTTGCATTTTATTTACTGTTGCATTCTAGCAAAAGCAGGGTTGTCACACAGAGGACACATCTATTGATAAGAGAGGAGGTTTTGTCTGAGTAAAAAGTAGAACAAATGTTGCTAGTATATTTTTTTAAAACAAAGAAGGATCCAAGCAGTTGGTTTGCTTTTTTCAAATATCAATAAAGACTAGTGAATGAAAATCTATTGGATTTTATTTTAAGAGAATTTTGAAGTAAATTTACCAGATGAAGTACCAGCAAATGAACCTTGAAGAACAGTATTGTAGAGATGTATTGTTTTTATTTAACATGTTGCAGTAAACTCCCCACTTGCATATTGCACACATCTCAGGAAACAAAGCCAGGAAACAAACTGTTGGAAATACATCTGTAGGAGGATAATAGCCTGGGAGATAGAGAGCAAAATGATCCGTGGAATATTTTAATTTTGGTCTGTGACAGTTGGGATATGGGCATTGAAGGAATTCTGGCTCAAAGACACCTTTAAACACAGGTCTGTCACGGGGGTGGTGCAGTGCTCTGGATGTAAGAGAACTTCAGTGAAGGTCTAGGATGACACAGTGGTGATTGTCAGACAATTGCTAGCATTTAAGTTAGAGCAGTTTCAGACATTTTCACTTTTCTCAAATAGAAGTTATGACCTTTCAGATAAGATGAATGTTAATACGGTCTATTATAATGCAAACGAAACATTTTAAAGGTATCAGCAGCTCTGTGTAGGTAGTCGTTTTGTTTCCATTGCCACAAACTGCAGGAGTTGGGGTGGTTAGTGTGTTCTCCTGGGGACAGAGGGAATGACAGTAATTCTCAGGAAAGGACAGTTAATTTTTTTGAGCTATCTTAACTCTGACATTTACTTTCCTCTGGCTTTAGCCTGTACTACAGTCTCAACTGGCATAGCAGTAAGGGCAAGTCCCTTACTTTTTAGCAGGTTTGGGAAGTTTTTGGCCTTTGTATTTACACCATTTCCTCGGTTGATACCAGCTAAGCCAACAAAAGCTGTCTTCTGTTGGCATAATTTCACAAGTATGTCACCAAAGGCTATGCTGGCAAAGTGATTAGTAATGCAGAAGTCTAACTTTTCCCATCTAATTTAGCATAGGGGGATTTCTCCAGAAGAATAGTGTAATATAAACCAGGTATAATGTTGTGAATATTCTTGAAAGATTGGCCTGGGCAAAGGATTAGGTGAGAAAAACCTATAAAGATTAAGGCAAATTTCCTTATCATAGAATTATGTAAATCCTACTCTTTTTAATTCTTTTTTTCCATTGTATTCTGGCAGCATTTATTGGGTAAATTGAATGATTTTTTTAACTCAAGGAGCAGAGATCTCTTTTGAGATTCTAGCTTTGAACCCCACTGCTAAAATGAGACTAAGAAAATGATGTAATATTTCATGTTTTAATCTCTGGTTCCTCCTCTGTATAATTTATTTCTTTCTTCTTTTTTTTTTTTTTTTTTTTTTTTTTTTTTTTTTAGTGTGTGGGGAATTTACATCTGTGGCCTGTAGATTTCTTGGTTGGATAAACAAGTTCAGTATTTTCTTCTTTTTTTCTCCTTTTTATCTTTTAACAGGCAAAAAAATAATCAGTTTGAGTATTCAATCGGTCACAACTTACAAGAAAATTTCTAATGTTATCGGATATTTAAAAGGCACCACATTCCCTGGTAAGTAACCCATTACCGTTTGTAGCGATTATTTGTTTTATGATGGCTGGGAGTCATAGCTGGGATCAGGATTCTGTTTTGCCAGATAATGCTCTAATACAGAGGAAGGAGAGAACCTCTGTGGTAGTCATTTTGTGATTTGATTTATGACGAAACAGAACATAGGGTTTAAACGGAGAACGAACTCAAGGGGGTATTGTAGTTACAATAAGCTTATTTTTACACAACAAGCATGAATTACACATAGCCCATAGAGAGTGTTAGTATTATATAACAACTATGTTGGTGGTTTTAATTTTAGGGGGTACTGGACTGCATGATTTGAATATGCAAGCTGTCTGTGCAACTTTAGAAAAGATTGTGATTTTTTTTTTCTAATGTTACCAGAATTTTGAGATAAATAAAACTCTATATGCTTCAAGTCCAGAACATCCCTACATAATTGAAGTGTCTCACTGAAACCAGGGTGTATGGCAAGTGTGATCTCTGGCTTAGTTAAAAGTCTGATATCAAATGTGACTATAGTGGACAAAAATCTGTGACAGTTCTTAATCACACTTGGTGCTGCCTTACGTTGCGTTGCAATCATGCCTTAAACTAGTTTTATACAAGTCTATGAGTAGTAATTATTGTTCTGTATGACTTGTTCTGTATGACTAAGAATTAAACAATAAGATTCTAAGTGCAACTGTGGCATAAACCACAAACCCCCTCCCTCCTTTGATGCTGTATAATACGATAATCAGGACATCATAGGAATGAAGATCATTCTGAGCTTCTGTCTGCAAGTGAATTTGCCTAAAAGTTGAAGGGTTTCTGCAACGTGAAAGAGCGGTGTTGCTGGTTACTTACATAGCGCGAAGTGTTGTGGACCAGTCCCATTCCTAACGTACAGATGGCAACATCATCAAAACATCATTGCCTTGGCCTTGGTTAATACATTTTATTAGGTTCAGAAGAAAGATGGCAAATTTATCTACAGTCCCTTAGGAGGTGGGTCAGACATTTCATGTTTTAAATGATGGAATGAAGGAAGTGAAGATTTAAATTTATTCCTGTTAGACAAATAATGACTAAGTTTTATGTGTGCTGGATGCTGTACTTTGTGGCAGAAAAAAAATAATTAAACAACTTAAAGAATAATTAGCACAGTGAATTTAATTTCAATACAGGTTTTCAATAAAGGATTTAATTAATTTGAAGTTAACTAGTCTGCTATTGCTAATGTTTTGCAAATATCTGTCATGGAATTTGAAAGGTAAAAACTACCATGTTTAGGTGTACTGTCTACTGAATTGTGAAACAGAAGCGAGAGAAATAATTAAAAGTATGCAGCAGTTTGTTTAATAAATTCTTTATCTTCTCTGTACCTGAATATTTCATCTTATTATTGCATTCTTAAGAAGCTACTTTTTAAAGATATGTTAGTATATGCCTAACTTTAAGAATTTAAGGCTATGAAATCAAGTGAAGTCAATAGCACTACCCAGATGTCTTGCTGAACAAGGGCCGTAGCATCTGCCTTCTAATATAGGCACAGGTTAAGCATGTGATGCAGCAGTGAGAACATTTTGTACAGAATCAATGTTAAACCTTCATTTGTTTCTCTGCTCTTCCTGGTTGATACTATAGCCGTGCCCTCTCAGCTGATTGGAATACTTGATGTTTTCAGGGCATTGGTTGTCTGCCATTTTGATGAGGTTTTGCTAGTTTCGTGCACCTGAAATACTCACCTTTATGTTCTCAGAAATGCAGAAAGAAAGTAAAATTTATCTTAGTGCTTAATGGAAGACTGCAGAGCGTCACCAAGGGTGGATTTTTTTTGTTGTGGGTGGGTTTTTTGGGTGGTTTTTTTTTTTTTTACTGAAAGGCCTCTAACCACACATACAAACAAACTCATCTATGTAATGGTGATCTAGTTTGACATTTGATCTGAGGAATAGCAATGAGCATCTGAAATCCAACCGAGATATTAAACGATCTAGGAGCAGAGGAAATGTGATAGTTCGTAGCTTTTTAAAACCTGAAAAACATAACACTGATTTTGTAGCTTTATTGGACATGGTTGAAAATGGGAGGTATAACAAGAGAAGGCAGTATAAAATCACTCTTTTTAATGGTAAATCCCTGTTGTCCAGCCCATCACTACCCTAAACACTATCCCATCTTATCACTTTCAAGAGAATCCGATGGATATTTTTTTCTCTATCTCTAGTCCTTTCTTTCTCTTTGTTCTTACTGTGTGATCTCTTTCTCTACATGCTACAGCAAATGATTGTGAGAAAGGACAGCTGCTGCCTCTGTAAGCCTGACCATCCTTTCTCCAATGCTTTTCCTGTAGTCATTTGCTTCAGGGTATTGCCTCTATTCAAAAGGGAGAGATGTGCAAAGGTGAAGAATTTCAAAGGAGACACCAGCTGTTATGTTTTACCCCTGTTCATTCAGCTGGCATCTCCTGCAGTAAGTTCCTGCTTGTAGCTTTCTTCTCTGTTAAAATGTCCTGTACTATTTTACATAAAGTCTCTTTCCACTCCCCTTCACATACGCTGGTCACAGGCTGAACAGACTTTATAGTACGGGGCAGGCATTGATTCTGTTTGATCACTCTGTGTTAGGGGCATTTCCTCTGACGACCTAGAAGCCTGTAAGGCCATTCATTTCTGTTCCCAGTTCCTAACATTGAGTGAGTTGAAGATCCTATGGTTTTTCACTGTCAGTGCAACCTATAATTAAACATCTCATGATGCAACACACAAGTTGCAAAATTATGTGATTTAGTTTGCATTTTGTGACATTAAATTATTATGTACTAGATGTAAATTATGCATATCTGCTTTTAGAAAGAATTTTTGATTTACATACCTATATATCCCCCAAGCAGTTGATTGAAAATGTTGTCTTATAGGTACCTAACAGATCCCCTTTGTAAAACATTGTTGGTTCCTTATAAAATAACATTGCCATGTATTTTGTTGAACAAAACTGGTAAAAGTCCAGTTTGGTAGAGAATGGTTTTATAATCAAAGTATGTTGGTGTTCATTTAAAATTGTTTCTAGGCAGCAGTCACTGAAAAAGATACTGAGGAGTAGATATTTAATTTTTTGAGCAACTATAAGACGTGGGCATTTTACCACCTATGTGTTGCTACATTCCAGTGTACTGTTAACAGTGAAGAATGAATACCCTTGGATAAAGAAAGGAAACCAAAACTTTTTGTTTGCACTTTTTTGAACCCAAATGACATCCAGAGACTGTTGTGGATCTGGCATCACTTGATAACTATGTCTCTGTTCTCTATCGGTATCCTGAAATATGACAGAACACCTTTAAAATTGTAGATCTGGTCCAGAAAGAGACTACACTGACTATCAAACACAACCAGTAAGCAATCCTTCAAAGAGGCTTCGGTTGTGAATTCATCTCACACAGCAGGTCTAATAGTTTAGTAAGTTGCTCGGCATAACTCTGCTTAGACTTCTTGACACATGTCAGTCACAGTAGTCGTTCATGTTGTTTCATACCACATCATCTTTTTGGAATAGAGTAAGGTTCTTTACACTTCGGAGTTAGTATTTGGATTGTATATTATTCCTTGAGAGATGAAGATTTCATTTAATTTCTCTGAAAAAAATGGCGGGGATTTTTTTCTGGATAACCACAGGAATGTTCTTTATTTCAGGTTGAAACTTCTTGCTTTTCATTTTACAAAATACTTTCTTCCAGTATCATCAACGTTGCTAGGTCTGACTTACCGTTTCTGTATCATTCATTATCTCTATTCCTCTGTCATGTCTCCCCTTTAAACCTGCAGTCCAGGTCTTTTCAATGTCTCCTTACATGGAAGTCTAAGCCCTGATATATAACCGTTCTGGTTACCAGCTTCTCAACTGCTGTTTCTGCAATGTGTTTTTTGAGATAGGGTGGTGAGCACTGAACACAGTCTTCCAGGTGAGGGAGTACTAATACTTTGTGTATATTCTTTATGTTTCTTATTGTACTACCACATTTTTTGTTTTCTTTTTTAGACACTAATATGTATTGAAGATAGAGTTTCCTGCTTATTCGTTTGTGTTTTTTCATAGCACTCTAATGTAAGCATGGAACTTTATTAGATTATCTGTATGATGAAGTCCTGGCTGTAAAAATGGTATATATCAGATTTATACGAAGGGAGAGTAATAAGCCAACAATGAAGGCAAAGGCACAGGGATTAGGTTAGGGACGTATATACACATATTTATTTACTAGTTTATTTTTAAGTAGTTTTTACAGTTTTATGTTTTTATATTATATGATTGTCTTGCAAATGATCATATAAATTTTTGCTGACAGCTTTGTGTTGTATTAATGACATGACAGATTGCTAATATAGTTCATCTTTTAGACTTCTTTTTTTTTAATTCATTTAATGCTAGTGTCCAGAAGAAATAAGATTCTTTTGTCTGTCTTCTTTTTTTTTTTTTTTTTTTCCACATTTCAGACAGATATGTCATCATTGGTAGCCGTCACAATGGTTTGAATACTTATGGTGGACAAGAATGGGCCAGTAGCACTGCTATCATCACAGCATTTATACAAACCTTGATGTTGAAGGTTAAGAGGGGCTGGAGACCTGACCGGACCATCGTTTTCTGCTCGTGGGGAGGAACATCCTTTGGGAACATTGGGTCATATGAATGGGCAGAGGTAAAATAATTTTAGAAGGACTCATTGCTATAGTGATGACTTTTGTAGAAAGCATGAAGACAACATGGAATTGCCACACAGAAATTGTGGTTCATTAAGTGGTCTGTGACACCAGTCTGTGTACGTTCATGTACTTGCAGCAAATGCAGTGAAAACACCTATAGAAGCAGGTCCTGTGGAGCAGAGCATGTGTGATACTGGGATGGCAAGTTGTTTCCATAGCTGTGAAGGTTGCATGTACTGCACCTTTGTGAGCGGATTCCCCTCCTTAATTCAGCAGAGGACTGTAAAAGAGGGCATTGCCAGAGTTTGGTGGAGGGGGAAAACCTCAGAAAAGACCTAGGCCCAGGAATAGCTTAGAGGGCTTTTTCCTTGTTCTTGGAAAAATATCAATTTTTGATTGATAGGCTTAGTGTGGGGAGAGCTGAATCGAGAGCACACTGAATGAAGAGAACCGTACTATGGTTTACATTAATTACGTTTCGGTGTCTCCATGACTAGTGCTGTTTCACTTTTCACATCTTCATGCTAAGGAGTTAGATACAATCTGACACAGGCAATTCCTTGGGCTCTTACTTTCAACAGAATAGAAATCAGCTTATTGAAAGAAAGTACCTCATCAGAGTATTGTTGCTCATACATGATTACAGTGGATTTCAGTTGATAAATTAAAGGAATAGCTAGCAGAGAGGTTCATGGCTGCTGAATTAAAGCCTTAGACAAAATGAAGAGTTAATTGCTTTCTATCATGCGTGAGAAGCGGCTAGCTCTCGTTGAAGTTTCATACTTCCAATATGATTATTCTTCAAATACAAGAGGGGGTGAAAAAATCAAATTGAAAAGATCCAGGCAGGAAGCAAAATTTGTTTAGTTCCACTTCAAGTCAGCTTTACATCAGATGTAATTGCGTTACATCCCTTCTGTTCAATATAAAGAGCCACTTCATGCAAAGAGTAGCTCATTACTGAGAAGGCAAAGGGGATCTTTTTTAAAAAGAGATAATAATTGAAACAGTTCATACATAACTATTTTTGTAGTATTAAAAATAATGAAATTAAAACACTGGGAAAGTTGTGCAATTCAAATCTGATTTTGGTCTCTAAAAATTTGAGGACATTTAACTGTTGATAATGATTGCTTTTGAAGTTTGTCTTCTGTCTTGCATAAGTTTAAAAGGCCATCACGTTGTTTCACAGTATGTAATGTTTTCATTTTTGGACTTACAAGTGTAGTCATTTTTGATTCCTCCCAGGCCTGTTTACATTTTGTTGAGATGATGTGTGAAATTGAATTATAACTTCTGCTATATAGAGAAATAACACTAATATCCTTTGAAGTTCTTAACAGCATATTATAAGAAGTAGTAGTGGTTAAGTGATACTTAGGCAATCACAGAGGACAAAAATGTAGGGTGCAGTTTTTCCCTAGAACTGAAAGAACAAAACAAGTTGTAATTATGATGATGCATACTAATAACCATGGCTCTGCTTGTGTTGTAGGGTCTCAGGAGAGTTCTTCAAAGAAATGTTGTGGCTTACGTTAGCCTCCATAATCCAATCAAAGGCAACTCAACTTTACACCCTGTTGCATCCCCTTCTCTTCAGCAACTGGCAGCAGAGGTTAGCAGTATTTTTTTTTTTCTTCAAACGTGGTTTATGAGGTTACATGATTAACCGCCTTGATGCCAGTTGGTTTTAGATAACTGTAGGTGGAGTTTGTTTTGTTTAAGCATTTTAACCTCACGAATACCCATGAACTGTGTTTACTAAGTAAGCAGTTTAAATTTTATTTAAAAAATTACAAGGTGTGTCAAGAGGTTGGAAAGGATAACTTACTTCAACATCTCGTTATACCAAGTCTCACCATATTTACGTGCCCTACAGCTTTTTCACCTTTTGGCAGCTTTAAAGTAACATTCTTTTTTATTCTTTAGCACAAAGCACATTTTTCTTTTCCTAATCTGATCTTTCCAGACTGTTTCTCAACTTGCATGTAAACCTTTATATTTACCAGATGTAACATGACACACAGGGAGAGTATTACTCTTACTATAATAAATACTGTCTACAGTAAGTATGTCAGGTTCGGTGCTCAGCTATGCCTTTGTAACTAGTCTACAGTCAGAATGTTCTGTATGTTCTGTACTTATGCTTGTGTAAGTGCACGTAGGCTTTAAACTAATAACCTTATTGCTGAGGTTGATGAATTTCTTCATATTTAAAATGAATTGAAAATAATATAAGGTACATACTAAATGATCAAAACAGTTTAAAGTGTTGTGCTGTTAAAATGGAGTTGAATATGACTTTCATGAAGTATGCTTTTCAGATATTTTTTCCGTAAATTTACCAAGCTAATACTAATTAGGTTATTCTGATGTTTCCTTGACTTGCCTCTGAAGCATTTGGTACTAAACACTTCTCAGAGTATCATCTGAGGTAATCCATTTTTAGACCACAACAAAAGAGACCAGCTTGCAGTATTTTTTACTAATCCTAAACAGTGTTGCAACATTGTTTTGAGGAGGGGAAGGCTAAGATCTCCTCACCATTTGCACTGAGGACAGATTTGTGGTTTGTTCAATGCTCACCGTTGTGCTAAAATTGTGGGAACTCCATCTCAGTAAAAGGGAGGCAGAATGTTTTCCTAGGGACAGTTCATACTTGTTACAAATGCCTACAAAGGTTAAGTGTTAGAATTCTAGGGAAAAAGTTAAAAACTGTAGTTTATTCTGTGAAAGAAAACTCGAGTAAAAATGACACTAAATACGGAGCACTCCATGAAAGCTACAAGGACCATAGCTTAAAGAGAACTGTGGAGAAACGGCAAAGTAAGGTAGGCACATGTATACAGCAGTGTTTAATTTCTATGCTGTAAATATGTGGCTTTTCTAAACCAAAATTTTGGACACTTGGTAATCGCTGCAGCTTCCAAAACAGGTTTTTTCCCCTTAATTTCTGGAAGCTGTGAGAAAAGTAGGAACAACATTTTAGCTGAAATATAGTTTGTATGAATATTCTAGACTTACCAATAAAAAGAAAAATCGCAAACCTTATGGGTTGACTACTGTGTGAGATCTGATGGTCAGTTACAGAATAAAATAAGTGCTTGGCTAATTAACAGAGACCATGACTTCTTCAAGATGTTTTATCTAAGGGAGTACATCTTTATTTTAGTTGCAGGTTTCAAAAGGGAGCTACATAAGCAGCCTGCAAATAATAATTTTATGTGCCTATCAGTGGGATTCAGTGGGATTCTGGTTGAAACACCAAATTACATGAAGAAGCTAATTTAAATATTTGGATTAATTAAACAAAGAGGAATTCAAACAATTCTGAGACCTTGACATATTTAATTCAAATCTTTTTTATATAACTATGCTAATTAGTGTCCACATTAACACGAGGGAAATATTGCCAACTTATATTTTTGCCTACTATTATTTTGTTAGAAAAATTATCGTTAATTCACTTGCTCGGTTAGTGAATCGACATTTGTTGGCAGAGTGTCATTGGTAAATTGGGTTTCTTTGATGCTGGCATTAATTTTCTGTAAATAAGGCCATTAGTAAATTTTTCTATAATTAACATTTCACAAGTAAAAAAGTTATTATGAAACAGAAATTAATTGCTATTTTCCTTTAACTGATTGCGTGGCCACTGCTGGTCAGGCTCCAGGTCTTCTGTTATTGCTGAACCCAAGAAAACTTACTGCTTCTGTCTCCTAGGGAAAAGAGCCATTTAAAGCTATTGAAGAATGAGTTGAGCATTAAAAATGACTGTACCAAGTATTGTTCCGTGCTATTTATGGTCATTTGTTTCCATTAATGGAGTAAAAAGCATAAAATGTCTTTACATTTAATGGTGGTGCTGTTGATAGAAAACAAGTTTTTCTTTTCAAAGTAGAACCAAAGATAAACTTCTGTATAGATGCTTGTTACTACTATTATTTCCTGATTTTTTTTTAAAAAAACACCTTACTTTAATGTCAGCACTGATTCTTTTCTTCCAACTTCTATGTGTTTCTCATTTGTTTTGTTTTACCTTCAGCATTTAATAATGGATCTCCAAGCCTCATATATCAATAAGTTATAAAGAAGAAAAAAAATTATAATATTGTTTGAATTGCTTGTTGTATGCCGTATAATAGAAGATTATAGCTTCTCCATGAATTTTCAGTCTTGACCTCGTACTGCTTTAAGTCTTACAATTGATTCTGGTGTTACTTTTTATACTTGTGTTGAAAACCAAAAAAATCTCTTGAGAATCACAAGTTTGTACTGTGAACTCCTGCCTCAGGAATTCATTCAGCTGAAACCAGGACACTGTGTTAAAAGGATGCTGTGAATATAGACAGTACTTGATTGCCAGCTCTATTAAATTCATTAAGATGCTGCTTCTCCAGTGTGAAAAGCAAAGTTTCATCTAATAGTGGATTTGATTTTGGAGTTGCAGCAGGTACTTTGCATCTGTTAACAATGCTTTTATTTTGATAAAATGTTGCTTTGTCCACTGTTGCATATTTTTTCACTTTTCCTCCCCCCAATTAAACAATTTTCATAGATAAAAGCTGATTCAGACACTGGGTAATCGTTTAAACTACTACTATGTTTTGATGTTATGAAAATACTATTGCTGTTAATGATGGGGGGAACAAGTTTGTTAGCAAGGAAGAATGCAAGTGGACTAGTTTTTATGCTGTGATCTTATTGAAGATCTGCCAAAAGTCCTTTGTTTCTAATGAATCAAGCTTTCTACTTCCATGTCCTTCCCATCTTTACAAAATTAAAGTGTCAGGTTCTTCTGCTAAAAGCATAAATGGTGTATATTTTCAGCAGGGCTTTTGTTTTGTTTTGTTTTGAAATGTGAATGTCAACTTTGATAGCCATTGTAGGTAAAATTGAAGAAATTTGGACCTTTTATTATCTTTAAATGTAGTGCTGGAGTATGGGAGATTTCAGAAATTCTTTACCTGCTGTAGAATGTATTTTGGCTCTAGGCTTCTATTGGCCAATCTAATTAGAACTGTTTCATGTAATAAGCTGTACTACATGTTAGAATTGGTTTTTTCCTTCCAGAGACTTTATCCAGACTACAGTATTAGAAAAGTTGACTTCAGTTCTAAGTAGTCCTTTGCTTAATTTCCTCTTACTGCTCTTAGTTGTTTCCCTTCACAACTGACTTTTTCATGATAACAGAGAGACGTTTCCTTAGTGGCAGAAAACATTTCATGTGGAGAGTTTAAAAGTAAACTTCTAGTTCTTATGAAAGATGATAGATTGACAGCTCTGGATATTTTAATATATATTTTCTACATGAACACAAATCACTGAAGAGTTTCTCTCACGGTTTTTTTTTCTAGTCATTATTAATTACGTTGTTGAATGAAACTGACTGAATAGCTATAAGCTATGCAACACAAACAGCACATGGGAAAGAAATGCATTTGCAAAAATGAAGTGTATGGTAAAATGACCAGAAAAAAAAGAAAGCATCTTTAAAATCAAAATCTAGAAGACATTAGTATAAAATGAAACTAAAATTAAGACTACGTTACGTCACTTGGCTCTTAACAGTTAGAGCCACATGTTCCTTACTTTTGCATGTGACAGAAAAATAATCAAAATTTTGTGCAGCACAACACACTTTCTAGTTTGCAGATCAATGTGGGGAAAAAACCCCCATCTGAATAATGAAAAGCAGACTGTTTGTCATATAATTAAAAAGATGCAATATTTTAAGTAATGTGATAGACATTTAACCTGGCTGAAAGTGTGAGATACCTATTTTTTTGGTAGTAAGATAATGGCCTTTCTAGGTGTGCTAACCTCATATTCTGAGAATGGGAAGCTTTGAAAGTGCTCTTTGACAAACTGTTACTCACTCTGTCTCAGTATGTTTTTTTAGCTGCAATTATTCTTTTTGTGTGTGTTTATTCTATGAAGTGCTATGACTTTACATGATTTACCAGTATTTTCTGTCGTAAGATGGTATGGTATTTCATACTGTCCTAACTAGGTCACATATTGAGAAGTCAGAGGAATGGGAAGGATAGTCGATTTGTAGAAACATGGGAAGGTGGTTTTGGTTTGTTGTTTTGCTTTGTTAAGCTGTTTCTCCCAGGAAGAGTGGAAGTATATCTGTAGAATACTAATCCAGTAACTGATGTGAAAGCATTGACCTGAGCCCCACCAGGAAGTGGGCATAGTAATCAGCATGGAATTCCTGCTCACGCTGATAGATTTTGAGGTTGGAAGTTCTCTTCCAACATGGGCCCTTGTCATGCATGCGTAGAGGATTCTTCTGTGAGTTTTGGCGTTCAGATTCACCTGTATGTTGTGCAGGATCTGTCAGACATGCTCAGCAAATGCATGTGTCAGTTTAGCATCCGAGACTTTCTGGACTCATAATGAGCGACTTTAGTGCTTGATCATTTATTTATACATTAGATGGAATTATATTTGAAATAAACTTAAGTAACAAAGTTATAATTTCAATGGTTTAGAAGTCACCTTAAAACTATGGTGATTTGTTTTGGTTACATTCCTATCTTTTAATACCCAGGGGTCTTTACATCTTAACCTTATAAATTTGTCACCCAAAGCGTCCCTTTAATTTCA